AATGGATTTTTAAATATGTATTTCTTCTCCTTACTAGGTTGGGGGAATTAAAGACAAAGTCCTGGCAGCACACCGAGCTGGACTGAAGAGAATTATCATTCCTCGAAGAAATGAAAAAGATCTTGAAGAAATTGCAGTGAATGTACGGCAAGATTTGACTTTTGTTATGGCAAGCTGTCTCGATGAAGTGCTTAATGCAGCTTTTGATGGAGGATTTGCAGTAAAGCCCAGAGTTGAGCGTTTGAATAGTAAACTTTAAGCAGAGAGGCTGAGATTACTTCTGTATCAAACTTAATAGAGATCAGTAAGTATCAGCTATGTACATATCAAGTATAACTGAGTGAAACTTGATTGCTTAAATGTGGGTGCAAGTGCAATCAAAATAAAAATATTACTTCAGCGGGTAACCTGCAACTACATTTTATAGGCATTTGCTGCTTTTTACTATCATCAGCAAAGAATCTGCAAAAAAATCCTCATTTCCTGGTAGATTCAAGTGTGAGAAAGCTGAAACCATTCATAAGGAATTCCTTAGCTTATTGGCATGTACATACATAAATGTCAGCAGCTGATTTCATCTTTAAAGGACACACCCACAAGTAGGGAGTAATACACAATTCTGTGAGCAAATTCAGAGCACAAATTGCAGCCAACATAGCACAGCAAGAGTCTAACAGATGGGGTTGTTACTGAAAAGCAAACTGGTTTAGCACAAGAGTTTACTTATTTAGGAAATAACATTCAATATGCCCAGTAGCAGTAGCATCACAGGAAAAAAAAGGCTTTTGAAATCTAAAAAATGTGCTTCAGGGATTTGAACAGAAGCAGTATGGTCTAAATTAAGTTAGTAAGTCCTTTCAGCACTAACTTCTAGTTTGTAGCGAGGTCAACGCAGACATCATTTTTCAAACCTAAATACTGAAAGCAACTCTGGAAGAACTGAAATGACAATGCACTAAGGTGCATGTATGCACGGTTGTACTTACAGCACCAGAAGCAGGTGGAGGATACTTGAAGACTTTATGAAAAAGCCTGGTAACGTTTTGGAGGGACAAAGTACATGTCCTTCATTCTTACCTGACACAAATCAACTTGATTCTGGGATGCTTGTGTTCACGTGTAGCCTATAAAAATTAAATCCATTTAAACAATGCCAAGAAAATACCAGATCATTACATTGCATTAGGTGCTGGATAATCTGAATAATTTAAGGTTTACAGAAGTCTGTCAGTATCCCATCCCAGTTGATAGCTTTGTCTCTCATGTCCCCTTGATTGTTAAGGTAGAAATTTAAACTTACGTAATGTAAGATCCTGGCGTGTTTCATTGTTTTATACTAGGGTCAACCACAAGAGAAAACTCAGTACGTTACATTCTCTTCTTGCTCCTTAATTTTGAAAGAAACTCGAGTGTGCTTATGAGATTCAAATTGTATCAGTGACAAAAGCCTATTAAAGAAGCAGCCAATAAATCAGAACTAATAGTTTGTTTTGCTTTCATTTCCATAGATAGACGCTGATTTACCTGGAACATAATGGCACTGACAGTAATAAATTCAGTGGGTATTTCTGCACCTGATTTACAAGACTTCATAACTTTCACAGAAGACTTAATCTAATAAAATGATAAAAACCCTTTTTCTTTCACTATTTTAATAACTGTACTCTTAGTCATTCACTAGCCAAGATCCAAGGGGAAGAGGCAACAGAGTCCCAGAATACTTTCTGACTTTTGAAAACAGTAAGTGCAAATAAACTAGACAATCAGTAAAACACCAGAAAGGTACAGTAACTAAGATGCTGCTTTGCCTTTAATCAAAACCAGTAGGAAAAAAAATCCTTTACCAAACTTAATGCAGATCAAATAACAACCCTGCACTGCTTTGCACTAGTGAGAAAACAGACATGCATGGAATTCCAGTGCCGCCTGTTTATACACGTAGAAAAAAATGGCATATTTTTTAAAAAAGATAGTAAGTACTGTTTAAAAAAAAAAAGTTTCCACAGCAGCTTTGCTACAGAAGAACAGGGAGTTGCTCCCAAGAAAAGTTAAGCAATGATTTTGTCTGCCACACCACGCCAATTTTAAGTCTTGTCCAGGTGGAGTGTACCTGAAAGGTGTGGGGTTTAATGCCATGCTGAAGATATTAGTAGGCATTTACTTACAGCTTGTCATGTTCCTGCTTGCAGAGCTGACTTGGTTACATGACTTTGTTGAGGTTTTTTTTCTTTTTTTTTTTAATAAAACTTAAGCATTACCCATTATATCAAATGCTATAGATGCACTTTAGTGTCTTGTCTTTTGCTGTCACTGAACACTGTTGAGAAAAATAACAATCTGTGCAGCAGCAAGCCAGAACAGTAAAGAACTTTTAAGTCATTCCAATACATGAGGGATTATTCTGCTTTGCAGTTACATGGACCTGACTGTAAACGTGTCCCTCAGAATACAATACCTAAAGCTTATCAAAAGTAAAAAGCAAGCAGTGGTAGCTTGTTTCCTCTGTCCACACTATAGATCGCTACAGATAATAACAATCCCACTAGTGCAATTCATGCATTAATCATAATAGCTTTGAAGATACCTGATAATACAAGAATATAGGCAGCAATACAAAACAGTTCACCTGCTTTAACTTTAAAGCACGACTGCAAACAAGAACTAGCACGAAATGCCAAAACAGAACCCAACTATTAACATCCACATTTCTCTAATGTTTTCCTATTAAGGCTTTTTTTTCAAAGGGCAATGAAAAACAACGGAGGGGAGGTAGTGCTAGTGGTCAAATGCAAGATCTGCTGCATTCCATTTCATCTATTAAAGACAAATTTGAATACTCTTTAACAGCAAAGTAAAATAGTACTTTCTAAAATAAACAGCTGATGTTAAGACAATGCCAGGCTTTAATGCACCATTTATTTTAGATAAGGTAGTAAACTGTACAGGTTTCCAGTATGGTCTCTTTTTTCATATATATCAAAGTGTAGGCTTAGCAGATCCTCAAACTCTGAATTAGGCTTCTAATGCTTTTGAGGATCTGGGCCCAAGTATAATTTGTTTAATCATTCCATCAAATGATGGACAGCACATGTTTTATACAACTATTTTTTTTAACAGTAATAGTAATACTAGTTTACATTACATTACAGTAAGTCAGCATACATGAGTTATGCTATAGCATTTATCATCTGTAAAACAAAAAGAACTGACGGTACCAGTTAGCTTCTGAACCTCATTACAAAAGCAATTTTTGAAGTCCCCTTCAAAAGTATAGGCTAGAATGGGCTGAAGATCAAGACTAAACAGAATCACCACAGAAGAGTGCAAGAAGGCTTTAAAATTCAGAGTTCTTTTGGGGACACAAGCTGAACCATTTCATGTCCATGCAGCACCAAGGAACAGTCTTAGATACGTTGTGTGTTCATGCAGCCCTGTTAGTCTCTAATCATAAGTATCGGACTGCAGAGGGTTCTTCCAGGTTCTGAGCTAGATTCTCCTGACAACACGGGAGAGCTGAAAATCAGATAACCTTGGCAGGCAAGCGTCAGTCCAAGCCAGCCACTCACAAGTGAGATGGTGAGTCAGTGTATTCTAAAAATATTTGAAGCATTGAGCCAAGTTTCTGTCAAATACCAGAACGCAAACCTGAGGTGAATGTAGACAAGCTTAATTAGGCGAGAATAATTACTGAATTTAGAAGACTGCAAACAATTAGCTGTCTATTCATAAGGAAAAAAATGCTGGATTGCAGGATTTTCTGAAGCATTTGTCTACTGTCAGAAGATATCAGTACATCTTTTAAATGAAATCTCTGCACGGTTCAAACAGCCTAAATACGAAATTTTCAGAAGTGAAACTTTTTACTTTCACTACCTGAAGCCAACTATTTCTGTAGCATTTTATCAATCCAACCTATAGATTTTTATGTGCCTTACCTGTAGAACTACTTACCTCATCATGCATCAAAACAAAGAACAAGAGTTGTCTTAACAGATCAACCTTTGGTAAGAAAGCTAAGAGAGTGCACAGTAAAGAAACTGTACTTTAATGTGTTACAGAAGCAGTGAATAGCCAGACTACCTCCCCAAACAGATGCCCGTTAGGACTAGATTTGACAAATATTTCTTTACAAGAGTTTGAGATGAAAAAGCATTTCACCTTACTCTTTTTTCTGTCTCTATACAGTGTTTCGTAACACAAATACCATATGCATTCATGGTTAAATTTTTCACGTACAGGTAGTCTGCTTAACGCCCAATAACCTTCAGAAGCCTTCACGGCCGGTGACTCATACCTGTAAGAGATCCCGTGCATTGCTGTAACGGGTACATGATATACAAAAATCAGTTCAGGACAGTTACTTTAGTAACAACCAAAAGACATGAAGACAAGAAACTGAGCAAGAGAATCAACGTGTCAAACTTTGAGCTAAAGCAAAAAGCAAAAGTTGTGTTTGTTTTTTGTTTTCTTTTTTTTTAATTTGCCAGGTATTCTTTTAATGACAAATATAAAACAACTGAAAACATCTCATTCTGACTGCCTTTTTTTTTTTTTTTAAACAAATGGTCTGTTTTTATAATTACAAATACTGTGTGAGACAATACCTTCTTTGTACTGCAAAAACAACAAATACAAGGATGCAATCAAGTTTCTAAGCATCTCTAAATTTGAAAAGTTATTTTTTTTTTAAGTTCAGAAAATTCTTAATAATTGTCTGTTTTTGTTAGAAGGTAACTCAAAGTACAACAACATCTAGACCTGTTTTTAAAGGAGCTTTCTTTCCTGATACATCTCTGAACACAATTACTCCTTTCGAGTTCAGTACATTCACAAAATAGCTCAATTAAGAACAGTATCACCAATGAACTGACTACTAGAAAGCGACAAAATTTACCAAACATACAGAAATATAAGTTTTACCATAGCAATTATGCATATATCAAAAGATGACACCTGTAATTAATTTTAAAAAGATACAAAAAAGAGAAAAACCTGAATTACAGAAAAGAAAGTCATATTTATTTAATGAAAAACTAGAAGTTAATAAAAATTAGCAAATACACAAAAAATATACACAAACAGCAGCAATACTATGTAGTGACTTACAAAGGGCAGGGCAGGGGGAAGAAGGGGAAGCAGTGGCCAGAGACCGGACTGCTCAACATGGCTTGTCAGTCAAAGGGGGGAGGAAAAAAACACAAACAAAAACACGAAACAGTATCCTTTTCAACAGTACAATTAATCTACAAACAAGTTTTTAGAATTATTTTACAACATTTCCTGTAGAATCAATTCTTAATACAAAAGATGCCCATTTTGGGTGTATATATATTTTCAGTGGTTTACTGTCGACTTATTTTAAATATATTAGTGTTACTACATGCAACTGCTTCCTGTAATTTAACAGCCTTTCCTTTTATTTACCTTCATATATGTCTACCCTCCATCTACCAAATAATTTGTCTGACAGTCAAAGATGGTTACCCTAGTTTCTGCTAAATTAAATTCAACGGTTTTAAACACTGGCCTGAAGAGGTGTGATTGCCATTTCAACACATGGATATAGTTACGTTGATGCCTAAATTGCCATTTTCTGCAAAGAGCTGTGCGATGCTGGTGTCAAAGACTAGACAGTCACTATTCATAATGGCTGTTGCAATTCCCTCATGAATAGAGCGAGGAGTTGCTTCCCAAGTCAATCGCCGCCTATGACCATTTAACTCAAGTCGATAAGCAAAGTTTTCTGCTTGCTTGCGTGTTCCTATCAGCTGTACAATTGCAAAGAACTGCTGGTGACCATCATATTTTTCCTGTTTCTCCAATACTAACATGAAATGAAAGCCAAAACAAGACTGCATCATAACCCAGTCAACAGCACCAGGAAGGTTAATGTCTGTAGCCAGGAACACTATATCTTCTCCCTGAAGGGTTGTAATTGACTTATGTTGATGCATCAGGTGTGGCATTACAGCATCCAGAGAACCTTGCCATTTACATGAAGCACCCGGACATGGACAGGAGTAAGGCCTAAACTCACACAGCTCCTCATGTTCTGCTTTTTCTGTGTGTGGCAAAGTTATCTCACATCCAGAAGAGGCATATTTACAGGGGAATAGTACAGAATTGGCAACTTTCTCCATAGCCAGGTTACGAATGGAGCCCAGCGGGCCTCGGCAAGTTGGGCAGCACGTAAGTTTGGGGCGACAGTTGCTACAAACAAGGTGGCCACTCTGACACTGAAGAATTGGTGGCAGCACATAGTCAAAACACACAGGACACTCAAAGAGACTAGCCAAGTCATTATTGGAAGCTGTAGTGCCAGTCAGCGCAGGCACCCGCTGGGATGGCGTACACTTTGAAGTACCTGTAGGTAGTGCTGTAGCAGTCTGACGGCTCATTTCTGTAACAAGAGAGAAAAAAGAATGAGTATCTAAAATAATTTTTCTCTACATACACTATTTTTTTTATTTACAAAGAAGCTTCAAAAGCAAATAGATTCAAATGAAAGCAAAAAACCCCATCTAATGCAAAGTGGATACATGACATGTTCCTACATATCAACTGTGCTGTACACAATAGACACTTGCATGACATGCAACTATAACAAGTTAGGTTGTTCTGCTACTTATTATGAAATGGATTTACCTATTCACCTATTGGAAGCTGCAAAGGAGATGAGTAAAGATAGGCTAAAAATGTAACTGAAATCCTCAAAGAAGTTTGTTGGGTTTTGGTTGTTTGTTTTCAATATTACATTTACTAAATACTCCACCCAGCTCACTTGGCAGGTAACAACTAGGAGCTCTATGGAACAATTCTAAGGCTGCATTTTAAGTTGCTGTGTATTTAGTGAGATAAGAAACTAGCCATTTTTAATGAAAAAATGAACTTCTGGATATGACCTTCCTAGTAATCATGTTTACTATACATTTTTTTTTTAATTGGAAAACAGTACCAAGGAAAAACATAGGTCAGACAGTTACTACACTGCTTTTTTCCCCAGGATAGGACAGTGACTCTTCATTTTCATTACTCTGTTACTAAGTCCCATAGCCTATGAAGTGCATCCATGGCTTCAGCTCCCTGAACTAAACACCATTTGTGAAGATACCAGAAAAGAAAAACAAAGCCATTATTTTATTGAATTTCCCAAATAAGACAAATTCAAAAGATTAAATTTGATAATTTTAAGATCTAAGTACTCAAACACTTCCAGTAACCTGAAATGGCACTGTTGATTAAGTTTTACACTCAGTGGAGTTTACACTTAAGTTCTGCTCTTTCAAATGTCCCCAGACAAAAATCAAAAGCTGTCTGACCAAACAGCTTGCTCAAGCATTCAACAGATCTGGTGAAAGTACCATATTTCTTAACATGTTATGGATGCTACACTTTGTTCTGTACCCCCTAACTCTCCTTCTTGTGCAAAAGGAATGACTAGTACTACCAGAAAAAATAAACCCTACCTTCGTAGGTTAAGGAAAGTTATGTAAAATACTGTCCAAAATTGGCTTCTGTTACACAGCAAAATTCTCAACCACTATGTGCTTCTCTGCTAGTATACCAGCTCTGTATCTATCATGTATGTGTAAAGCTCTCAAAATACACCTCATCTTTAATCTCCCTGCTATTTGCCATGGAAACATGAGGCAACAAGCAAGCTTCCCATACTTAGCATCATTTCCCCCACAAACTTACGACACTTAGACTAGATACCTTAAAAGCAGGACACTGCATGTGCTTTTGCAAGACACGCGCTCTTCACGGCATGAAGCAAAGGAACTAAGAGATTCCAACATGCAAAACAACTTATCCCTTGACATTCAAAAAGTAATCACAGACGGGCAATTTCAAATTCTTCTACAGAAGCGCCTCTCCCCAGTCCAGAGCTAAAAACCCTGGGTGTCCAAGATTCTGTACTCAGTCACTGATTTTATGAGTTTCACATGCCCAATAACAGCATCATCTCACCCCTCTGAAGTTTCTTCCTTCATCTCAGGCTTGATGGACTAGAAATAACCAGCTCCCATCTTCAGAAAAAAACCCATGGTGGTTTGCAATGCTGGGCCTTAACTGATACTGTAGAGATACGACAGGAATGTTTGTATCTTTTGGCCTTATTTTGCTACTGTAAGGCATTCCAGCTTAGATGAAAAGTTTAAGATATCTGTGACAAATCAAACACATGTTCTGGGGAAGTGATACCACACCAGCTTGTTGTGAGGGGATTGAAATGATAAGACCCCTGCGACAACGGAGCACTGCTGCTGTTTTTCCCCAACACTTATGATGGCACACTGCAGTTCTACGCTGGAGAACAAATTATACGCAGAGAATAATTGTACACAGGAGAACAAATTCTGATCACACTGTTCACTTGGAAAGAGCTTAGAAATTGCACATATATGTGTATGTAAAATTCTGGAAGTGTTTCCCTTCAAATACTGTAAACACACACACATTTCAGAAGAGTTTGTGTGTGGTTCATCTTATCTGAACCCACCTATACGTCCTGATCCAGGGATCCCCAGTAACCCACAGATAACACTGGTTAAAACTGCGGCGTTAGACCAGTTCCCTAGGCAGTCTGACGAGCTGAGTGAGCTCTGGTTTCTTTAATTACACCCCTCAGAGCCTATTCAACAGTTAAATTAAGCAACCTACAAACTTTGCAAAAGACCTTATGCACAGATGTACTTCCCACCTAAGCTTTCTAAGCCACGGAACTACCAGAGCACAGAACCATACAGCCCTGTTTTATCAGCATTTCTGTATGGGACCAGCCTTCTCACACACCTTCCACAACCAAGGAGCACCCAAAAAGAGCAGGGAATGAAAACAAGCAGGAATCTGTGAACCAGACCACGGAGATTAGCATGCAAGGAAGAAACTGGATGAAGCTATAAACTGTAATTTACCAAGCCTAAACCTGTCCAAAGCCTACATTTTCATCACTCATGTTAACATAAAGATGAATAACACACCATGACAGAAAAGTCAGAGAAGCTCATTTTTTATAGCTAGCTTAAACACTACAAGTTAACTACAAGTAAAAGTGTTAATATTTAAACCCCCTGAACTATCAGAAACACACAATTACAAACCAAGTAAAAAACAACTACAGAACTGGAAATAAAGTTTAAAGATATTTTTAGTTACAAAAACCTTACTACAAGTAAAAAACACTATATACAATATTTGTTATTGTGTTCTCTTTGTTCCCACACACTGGGAGTCTAGTGTGGCAAACTAAGGTACTCGAAGTATCATCTTCAAAAGTATTAGTTCCAACGACACAAATTATTCAAAAGATTGTACAAATTTGAAAAGTTTAACCAACAGAAAGAGTAAAAAGTGAAAAACGTATTCTAAGATTTCATAGTTCTAGATCAAGAACAACTCTGCCCCTGATGCCATCAGAACGCACCGACCTGTTGATGAAACTATTCCCGACAGCGTTCGGGGAGGGTGGGTGCGGTACACACGCCACCGGCGCCTCCCGGGGACACGGTGTCACAGCCCCCACGCACCCAGCCCAAAGCACTGCCCAGGAGCCGCTACCTTTCCCCTGGCCGGCGTTACTTCCCGGCAAGCAGGCGCACAGGACTCCCTTCCACGCACAGCGACGGCCGGAGGCAGCTCT